CGCACATGGACGCTGAATTCCAGTTTGTACGGAGCCTCTCCTACTCCCCTCCCCCACTCTCTCCTCCCCTGAAGTTTCAGCTTCGTAGCTTCTCTGGCTACCGAGTTGAAACACCGAAGAGATGTACTCTGGACCCGTACAAAATGCAGTGTTGTGATAAGTTACCTTCGTATTCACTCCTAGAATCACGACTTCATAACAAAGACTAGATAAAATGTACAAATCCAATGATGGTACAAAAATGGAGGGAAAAATACTGCCGAGGATAATACATGTAAAAAAGCCAACAGTGTTGAAACAGCAATCTTGTACGTGTCCATGTGAATTTCTGAAGACTGCAGAAGCTAATATATGTGAAAAAAAAAGTGTGTGTGTATGTGCGTGTGTGTGTGTATGCATGCGTCTGCATCGATGTGAATCCGAAGCCGAAAGGCGCAAAGAATCAAACACCGCTCTGTGACAAGAACGTGCTTGAGGATGTGAATGTATAAAGACTGCCAAAACTGACAGGTAAGAAGAGAATAGCATAATTAATACATAAATGCAGACACGTATAAATCAGTAAAATCTGTTCAATTTATGTGAAGAAGTAGGTGTTCCTAACGTACCACTTACAAAGGTTTCACTGTTAAATGTGTTCTTACACATTTATAACTTCCTAACATTTCAAAATCAAAAAAGCCCAACTCCAAGAACGATTATTAAACAAGGTCAAAAAATTCATGATCTGTCATTCCCTCCTTCTTATCGACTTTTTATTACAACATTCACTCCGCCAACTTTCTCTGACTCCAAACTCAGGCTGGAACGCACCAGGCTCGCCGATGTGATCATGCATTTTTTGCAAAACTCGCAGGTCGCTAATAGCAGGAATGACACATGCGCTGCAGCCTAACATTTAGGCTCAAACTGACCGCTTTGGTCCGTTCCGGCATACAGGAGAAAGGGGCGTTAGTTAGGATGGAGGTGTTGCATTACAGGGACCTCCAGGTGCAAGACTATCAGTTTTTTTCGTGAAGCCCGGTAGTTTTTCTGGCAGATACAAAATGCAAATTTCTAGTTCGGTGAAAAGTGGCAATGTTGCTACAACGGTCGTTCGTCAAAAAGTCCAAATATGTAAATGAGTTCACTTACATATTGGAAGAGGATGAGGGCGGTCGTTCACTAAAAAATGCACTCGTCTCTGATTTTTCGGCAAAGTTGAGTATTTCTCATGCCCACCTGCAGGGAGTTTTACTTCCAAGCAGAATTAAGACCAAAAATGAAAGCAGAATATCCCTGTGAAGTTTCAGTCTCGCACCTTATCCGGTAAGCGAAATAGCCACTTCACTACAAAATACCTTTGAAGTGACCTGAGTCGTTGCGAAAATGCAAATCGGCACTCATTTTAGGTAAACGATGGGCAATAAACATGCTGACAAAATTTCAGACACTGTTTTTCAGAAAGTTTTCGAGTCAACACAATACAATTTGCAAACTTTGACGCAAACGCACGCGTTGCACAAGCAGGCGTGAAAGCTAGACTTGAAATTTTTAGCTCGCACATGCAAAGAGAATATCCCTGCAAAGTTTCAGCTTTGTACCCTGTTTGATTCGCGAAATCGCTTCCCGTCAAAGAAATCTGCACAATTTTTTGGGGGGCCCGTACGCGAGGTTTAGGCGTGTATGAGTAAAAATTTTAAAACAGGATGACAAACGGAGTAGAAATATATACCCAAAATTTCAGCCTCCCACCTTTCCTGGCTGCTGAGATGAAAGCGGGTGCCAAAGTTCACTCCCGACAATATGCGTTTTCGCTCGCTGTAGCAGCGCTATAGCGCTGCACAGAAAAAAAAAAACGCATAAAATTGAAATGTAAAAAACTCACTCCAGCACTGCCCGTTGAACTGTCTCCTCCATGCCGTTCACTAGCTTGGCCGATGGCATCCTAAATTTTTAAATTCAATAGAGCAAGTATTCGGAAAAGAATGAAATAAATAGAAGGGCATGGTAATTGGTGCGATCATGTCTTTTGTGCAATTCTGTCCAGCGAATGCTTATGCAGTATTGTTCTCCAGATGCTTGTGCAATCCTGCCCTGCTGGCAGTTGTGCAACTCCGTCCAGGGGAACCTTGCTATCAAAATTGTCTACTGCAGTACTGTTTGATACGTGCAGAGGTTTCTGTGGTTCTAAAATTATTAGTTTTGGCGCTAAAACTTTGCCGTTTCTGTACGTTAAACCTAGGCAAGCGCAGGAATTAATTTATATGCGGGCATGGGGTGCCACTCTGAAATTTTAATCCTCCTTACCCAAGCTTTTCTAATTCCAAAGTTAATAACTTTCGCGAAAAAATTTTCACCCACACATCAGACCAGAGCTTGCATAAGAGCCGATTATACAGTTATGGGTCCTACGCGAGCAAGGGACATTCTCTCAAAATTTCAGTCTTCTAGCTTTGGTGGTTCTCAAGCCGTTAATCTTGGAACAAGAATTTTCACTTAGCCGCAAATAATAATTAGGTACGCGGGGGATGAATTTATATACGAGCTCGGAGAATTATCCTAAAGTTTCAGCTTCCTAGCTTTTCTGGTTTCCGAGGTAATAATTTTCGCACCAAAACTCTTGCGTGCCAGCAAGTGGGACAGAGACACATGCGGAGATTGATTTAAATTTACGGGTTCTTATGAAGGCAGAAAGCATTCTCTTAAAATTTAAGACTTTTCAATTTTGGCGCCAAAATCTTCGCGTTTTTATACCTGATACTTAGGTGTATGCAGAGACTGAATTTATACGCGGACGACAGTATTATTCTAAAATTTCAACTTC